TACACAAGTTTTGCAATGCTGTATCGCATCTTTTTTGAAGTCTATGAAGACATCAACTATTTTTTGACTTGTCATTCTTTTTTAGTTACTCTAATTAGACATTAATTTCTTGCAATTTGTATTGTATTAGTGCTAAAATCTGCTATCATTACCCTAAAAATAAAGAAAACTACTCTAAAACCTTCTGAGAGTAAGTATCAGCGGTTAAATGTTCTATTTTTTCAGGATTTTAATGTAAAATTCTCCTTTCATGTCTCTTTCAAGTCTGATTGAATAAGCTATATATTACCAGTTGCTTTCCCATCTGTCTCAATTTAGTTTCTTTGACAAATTCCAATCTGGCTTGAGGAAAAATCAGAGTACTGAAACCACTCCACATTACATTATTAGGTATATTTTATTAACAGTACCTCTTTACTTAAACAAAAAATCTCAACACTCCTTAACTCCGCTGCCAGCAATGTCTTGCAGAGCCCTATGACTTAGACTCCTCTTTCCATTCACTCCCATCTTCTGACTTTTCACCAGGTACAAAAGTGAGAGCTTTCCTCTTTAATATTTAATTTTTCATAATCTCACTGCACATAACCTACACGGTCTGTGTATATAACATATATACAGCATATAAAATCCACATGATTCCTTTCACTTTCAAGCTGCCTGACCCTTACTCACCCTGAAAGTGCTCTGAGAATTTTTTGGATATTATAGGTGCACTAATTTTGTCCCTTAGCCTGTCCCAGCACACTTTACTCTAAATGTGTGTGTTAATTATCCTAAATTAAAAATCTCACAAAACCAAATCCAGAGAGGAAAAAATTCCCACAAATGTAACTTGCATTCCTTCACTACTTTTTTGTTAGGATATTGCAGATTTTATGCCTGTGGTTTAATCTCTTATATTCTTCAAATTCCGATGTGGAATATGTTACAAAAGTCGTGAGCCCGGTCATACTTTGAGTTTAACAGGTCATTTGTTGGACTGGGTTTTTCTGTCTTTGTTTTTGAGGGTTTTTTCCCCCACAATTTTTTTTCCCCCCCCCCCCCCCCCCCATCATTCCTTCCCAGGCCTTTCTGCAGCAAATATAATTACAGAACTGCCTATTCCCAAGTAAACAGAAGGCTGCACTATGCAAACAATAAAGATTTCTGTGTAAAAGTAATTGTTGGCTAGGTTTGACAACCCTTAAGGGAAAAGGAGAGAAAATACAGGCTGCTGCCCAGAATTTCTTGTTTTACTAGAAATCAGTTTGAGGCTAAGACTTTTGAGTAGTCTTGTGAACCCCAAATCTACCATCTGCAAGTCCATCCCAAGTTAGTGGGGGAACTGTTTCTACATATCAGTTAACGTTAATCCATCAGAAGTACAATCCTAACAGGTACTGAACATGCAGAAACCCTGCTGTGCTAGTTGCTCAGCAAATCATAGCACCAACTGCCTGAATAACCCTGTAGCACCTGCTGCCAGAATTACTGTTGGGCAAGAATTTTTATTGTGCTTTTCTTTAACTGGGCTTGTCATCTTGTCTGGGAACTTTTCTCTTCCACAAGTATGTCAAATGTCACTTGTCACATCAAACAAACAAACCAACCAACAAAACCCACCAAAAAATCAAATGCATTTGATGAGCATATCAGTTTCTAACTGTATGCAGGGAAGTAATTCATTAAGGATGTGTTAGCTCTAACTTGTCACATATACATTTTTAGAAGGTGAAATGACCCAGTTTTGGCTGAGTTGGCCTTCTCGCACACAGCCAGTGGACTGCTTCATGCCATTGCTGGGCAACAGAAAGTCATCTGAACCCTCCCGTGGGACTGAGTGTCTTGGCATTGCTTGGTGTCATGGCAGTAGTGACATAATCACTGTCTCAGTAGTAACCTGAAAGTCGCAGAATTTAAGTAATTCTCAAAATTGCTATGTATTAATTATTTAGAAAGTTAAGGACAAATTATTATCTTTTTTTATTTCAACTACTAACCATTAAATGTAAAAAAATACCACCAACCAAACAAAAATACACCCCTTCATCTCCCACATTAAAGCAATAGTTTTTTTAATATTCAAAACAGTGGATACTATTTACCATGTATTACTACTAGTGAAGAAAAGCAAATTTAATTTAAAATCATTTCTTCAAACCCCCTCAGTGGATGCCAGATAACTCCAGCTTAAACAAATATAAAAAATCTCATTTTAAATGGAGAATAATACAGACAGAGCTCAATTATTGCGATATTAAGGGCAACATTCAATTTGAGATATATTTAAGCATCTTTGCCTCCTGGAGATTTTTACATGACAAGGCTTTAGATAAACATTTTTTTTCAAACAGCAACTATCATATCTGATCACATAACCTCTGGACTGAAGCAGTATGTCAGCAAATATTTCTGATTATTTAAAGTATTAAATAACTGTAATTTACTAGGCAGGTCTTCCTCAGAACAATCACATTTTTTTTTAAGAATTAATACTCATATACAGCATTTAGATCATCTTTTACAAATCTGTGAATGAAAAAAAATAAATCACCTCTCTCTGTGATAAAGCCCAGTTTGAATACATTCTGGGACATCCTAGCAGTGGAAGAGCTGCCTTTCTACAACACTCAGCTTACGGGGGAACCTTCCCCAGCCAATGACACATAGGGTAGGAATCACCTCACCTAACTTTAACTATCTAGACATTAGATGCCTAATTTAAGCTAATCATCTTGGGTCCCTCTATAGGTAATGGAGATAAGCATTCGAAGAGGGAGATTCATCCTGCTTTGTCTTAGGCATCTCTCTTTTAGATGTTTGTAGATGGATAAAGCCAAGAAAGATCAGCCTCATTGACAGCCTCATAATCTGTTTTCTTTAGTGATGTACAATTTCCAAATTCAATGAAATTAAGCTAGAACTGAGATAATTGCTTTGTTTCATCAATTAGCCTTGAATTCTCCCTCCGACTGAACTTTTTCTTCAGTTCCTCCCATGAGCATCAACATCCTCTGGCAGTTTATTTTTCTTACACTGGACTATGTTTTCCTGGAACCTGGGGAACTGCAATCAACATGAATATGTTGCTGTTCTACCAGTCACAAATTCATTTACATGCATGTGCTCTAAATTGCAGTAACGTTCTGAACAGATAGATACGCTAGGAGTATTGATAGCTATTGTGCTTTCTGGGTCTGCTTTACCACTTTTCTATGTGTAACAATCTGTGGCAACATTAAGGCAGTCAAGGTGTATAGATGAATACTAAAGTACATTTACTATTCAAATAAGGTAGCTTAAATCAAACAAGGAAAAATAAGGAAGAAATAGCATTAGGGCCCTCACTTCCACATGTGTGAGCCCAGGTCACCACACATGCTTCAAGCCCTCTGTGCTTCAGAGTATTGAACAAGTCCTAAAGGCGAAGCCTGGCCTCAACTCTCTTGCATTTAGGGTTCGTGGGTTCTCAGCAATACCAGCATTGCTGCTTCTCACCTTTAATCACTAAGCCCTTAGAAACAACAGCCAAGATTATAGGGAAGCGGGTGTCTGAACTTAGACTCCTAAATTCATAGCTGGGTGCCTAAAGCAGCAGCAAAACTGACAAGCACCCTGTGCAGTTGCCCACAGATGCTCACCCCAGTAGTGAGGCACTTAGCATTTTTATATGTCATAACACAAGATGGAGGTTTATTAATTAAGAGTGTTCCAATGGTTACTTGAAGTGCCTTGGCCAAGTGCTTGTGTGCACTAATTTCATTATGGGGTGTGCAGTCTACTCTGCATTTTACTTCTACAGCATTTTTAGAAAATTAATTTTAATAGTTAAAAAACCATCTTGGGCTGCATACATGAAAATAACTCAATTTCTAGTGAATGACAATCTAATATGAAATAAGAATATTCACCTTTTTTCCTTACTCTGCCCAAATCCAGGCAATAAATTAGGCTTCTCAGCATGACTGTAAAGTGCTGTGAATTGTATAAACAATCATATATGGACACTGAAAAATAACCCTTATGCACATTGCATTATAGTTCCAAAAATATATTTACAGTCTATTACAAAGATTACAAATGGAAGTGTCTATGTAACGGGATTATGCTAGTTAAAAGCTTTTTACAGATTTTCTTCAACAAAGGCAGGGAGGACAAAAACTTAGTATAACCAAACTGATTTTTCTAACGAAACAAATAAATAAAATAACAAATATAACACTGTACAGTCATCGAAAAAGGGGGAGGAAAAGGAGGGGGAAAATGATGCATTTCAGTTTCTGATAACTATCTTTGGTCCTAAATGTGGGAAAACACATTATGTAGCACTGAATATACATGTTTGTTTGTGATGCTCTGCAAGTAAAATAGAAAAATATAGTGCATTTTCAATGTATTCAGAGCTCACTACACATAAATGTGTGTACAAAACAAGACAGTATAAATAAAATTTACAAGTTTTACAAAGGAACATTTACAGGGATTTTCTTCTGTTTTTGTTTTTTTTGTGTGGATGCCCACATTATCAAACAAGACCAATTTATGACTGATCCCTGGGATCTTTCTCTATCAAAATCAATAGAAGCAGCCCAATTCTCTTTGGAAGTACAGCATTTCATTGCTGGGGTAGTTCACAATTTTCAGATTTTTTTTGAAGCATTTCTCTCTGGCTCATATACATTCCTGCAATCTCTGTAAAGACACTGTTCATTATTGCTTATGGTAGTAAAATATTTTAATAAAAAAAATCATATATAAGTAAATGATGTAAAAAGATATTCCATTGAGCAACTACTCTTGCATCTATGTTCCTGATGAATGACAGTTTTGTCTGTGTGATCACACACATGCATGTTTGTTCAGAGCAGCAAAAGCTTGTAAAAAACCTGAAAATTTTGAACTGCCCCTTGCCTCATGCTCTACTGTTCTCATATAAAATCTATGTCCTTATTCTGACAGCTGGACTGCATACGGCTTAAACTCATATAAAATATATGCTAGCTATTTCTCTCAGATTTGCTAATGCAGAGTATTGAAAAAAAAAGTGATGTGCTCAGATTAAATGGTTTAGGTAACACTGGAGAACTACACCCATGTTCTGAGACACTCCTACAATCACTTGTCCATTCAATGAAGTGTCTCAGCAGGTCTACAGTTGTAGATCTACATCTTCGAATATATCTCACTTTAACTGTAATGCATTAAAATAATCTTGCAAACAATTTGCTAAAAGTGCCTAGAACTACTTAGGGGTCATTATTGCTTTTCTTTTCTGTTTTCTTTTTTTTTTTTTTTTTCTCTTTTATTTTCTTTTAAAAGATAGCATATGTGTAATCTTAAAAAATTCTTTAAAAAATATCAGAGCTCTTGGCAACTTGCGTTTTCCTGACTCCCTGCCAATTAGCTAGCCATGTCAATACAGTGCTGATTTAACAAATGTAAATGGCACAAAAGGATACCAAAGTTCGGACAGACATACATTGCTTGGTCATGCTTCTTAAATCTCTAGGAATTCAAATGATCCTTCAGAGGTACCCAGTGTAGTAATGTGTCATAGAATTAGCACTAAAAAGGTCCAAAGATATAAACATCATACTAAAAGAAAGTCTTTATGAAGAATAAACACAAATAATTAAAAAAAGATTCAGAAATCACAGATTTAAGGAAAATATTTTGTTGAATTCAACAATCATATCATGATTTTATCTGACAAATATATTCTTTTTAAATTTTTATGTACATTTAAAAAGTCTATTAGATAAAAAGGAGGTTAGAGAGCTCAAGGTGTTTGTATGTTTATTCAGGTAGTACTTTGTTTATTGTCACTGCTGTTTTCCTTGCCACCACTGGTGGATCCTAATTCCCTTTTCATAAATTCTGGCGGCACTTAGGAGTTCAAGTCTGTAGGTGCTTCTTGTAGCTCTTCTATTCACTGCAGGAAGGACCCAGGAAATCAAGTGTCTTCTAGCAGCACTTCATATATATTGAAGGCCAGTGCTGTTCTCTCAGTCTGTCACCTCCCTCATAAGGGAGAAATGTCTATCACACTTGGATGCCAGTGCCGTGTAAATGTAGCATTTGTGCTCTCATAGTCTGAATGCTGCTCATGATTTTCTTTTGATGACCAACCAACGTGATCCCTAAACTCATCACATCCCTGGGGAAGATAAATGCGTACATTGTTAATTTTTCAACTTAGACTGCTATTGTATGGTATTCAACTGTGAGTCAAAGCTATGTAGTAGTCTGGGCTACAGGTTTCTAACAGTGAAGCTACACTGGAACATTAGCTCAGTACTGTGAAGTTCATATAGGCACTGTTCAAATTCTTAGTAAGGAGTGTAATTACATGGCAAGTGTCATGTAATTACACGGCATGTGTCTCCACATCTGAGAATGAGGCCAGCACGTTTTGTGCTATGATAATCTTTTGTTGTGGCCTTTAAGGACACCCGAAAAAAGAGACACCTCTCGTAATATACTTCGGGTTGCTTTCAGGACCAAGTTACATATAAATACAAGATATTGGGGATCGTATTCTGCTTCTTTAAGAGATGCCTAGAGAAACTGTTTGCATATTGACCCATACCCATCATGCAAATGAAGAGGAGCAGCTGTTTCAATTCCACCACTACCGGTGCTACTGACCTCATAGAAGCTTGTGGGCTCTGTTGACAGTTCCCAAGCTACAGGCTGAGACCCCTAGTGATACCAGGCAGATAAGAGTAGGGTTGCAAACTTGAGAATATGATTTAGAAACTTGTTTAGAAAACCACTGATCTCTGTAAGAGGAATTACGTGTGTTTGGCAACCACCAGGACAAGTGTTGTTTGCAGGGTACCAAGAAGACCTGTTTAACATGGCAGTACCAATACAGACCATGCTTGCCTTCAGAAAATTATTTTTCTTCTATAGACTTTGATCCCAATACAAAGTCATTTCTTGCAGGATACAGACAGCCCACAGCCAATTAGAAGTAAATTCCACATCTTCCTAGCACACGTCTGGAAGAAGGTACCACTTAGGTAGTGGAGGCAAAATTATTATTTTCCTATATATACATACTTCGAAATGGGCAACATTCTCCCTCAAACTCTAGCCCCTAGGTGTTATTTCAATTAGTCTCAAAAGCAGGGGAAAAAATGATGCCATATATAGGTAGCAGTGTTACCCTTTCATGGGATGCTCTAAAATAACATCATCAGCTGCTAAACCAGCTGGCTTACCCCCAGGTACCATGCTGGTACTCAGGGTAAAGTTTTGGAGTTGAACATTGTATATTAGTTTACCTAGAAATTCCCTGAATGCAAGTTAAACATGCCCAGTACTAACTTACTCAATAGTCATCCTGGCAACTGATTCAAGAGAGTTGTAGCCTGCTGCTGTGAAATTATCCTTATATCTTTCCATCTTAATAGCTTGTAACCATTCGCCTACGGAGCAGAAAGTGGTAAAATCGGGAGTGTTCTGGTCCAGAAGAGGGCTAATTGGTCTACGGAGAAGGAAAAAGGAAAGTAAGTTGTTTCCAAAGAGAGTAAAACATCAGGGATTATTTTGCAAGGGGAGAGTCAAATAAGTTTGGGGTATTAAAAATGTCAGGACTAGAAAGTAATAGGTCTTTATACACAATTTATATTATTCTGTGAATAGCTCTTGACTAGTCTGTAGCTCACAATACGTACTTCCTAAGCTTATTCACTTAAAAGATGAAAGGTCAGAGTGAGCAAAATCAGCCTAATGGACTATTGTTACCAACAGAAAATCAACCTTATTACCTAGCATGACAGCAGCTGCAACTAAAGTTGCTGAGTAAAATAAAGATGCTGTTCTTTTAAGCATCTTAGAAAATATAGTAGTAGTTATTCTCATTATTCAATTGGATGGGACAAAACAAAGACAAGGAAAGAGTAGAGACACAAAGTAAGTTGCTCAAGATCACACAGCAAATCAGTCAGCAGAAGAACCGGGAGCAGAACACAAGCCAGTTGATTCCCTAGTGCAGTGATCTAGCTAGCAGATCAAAAGATTACTATGAGTAAATGATCCACCTGAGATTTATTACGAAGAAGCCATTAAAAGCTACACCATGAAATACAATGAGATGCGACTACTGAAAGGAGTTAAAGCTAGAAAATGAAAGGTAACTCTAGAGTGTAACATGTCAAAGTACATTGACTGAGCATGGGAATTATTAATCACTATTTCACAGAATCACAGAATCTATCACAGCAGTTCCCAGGGCAAGGGATGCATCATATAAAACTACAATAGACGATGATCCTTTCCCTCCAGACTTCAGAATTTTAAGAAACAAGGAGAACAAAGACTAGCAGTGGTGAGAGTGTGGAAAAAGTGGAAAAAGTGATGAGCGGGCAGTAGTTTACTGAGAAATGTGTTAGTTCCATGATATTTACTTTCTTTATTTGGGTTATTTTTTTTCAGAAAGTCCTTTTTGGCTTTGTTCAGTGTGGTAATAAAGAAGGGAAAATGAAGGAAGGGAAGAACAGGGAACAGAAGGAAGGAGGAACTGAAAGACACATGGAGTAAATGTGAACTCGAACCAGCCACCAAGTAAAACATCCAGAACTCAGCCATGTGCACCATCACAAGAACACACACTAAAGCTTTTCTTACCTGCTACAGGTTCCCAGCGGGGTTTTCAAGCTATTTGGGTTTCTAATCATTTTGTCCAGAATACCAACTATCTGCTCAAACTTCGGCCTTTCACCGCGTTCCTTCTGCCAACAATCTAGCATCAGCTGGTGCAGTCCTGCTGGGCAATCCATGGGTGCTGGTAAACGGTAGCCTTCTTCAATTGCTTTTATAACCTAGTAGCCAACACAGTTAATCATTTTTCATCAAGGGTTATTTAAGGAATATATATTGCTGCCCAGTTCAACAAATAAAAGAAAAAAAAGAAAAAAAAAAATCAATAACTTAAAATTTTCCATCAGTTTTGCAAAAGTATGAGTCTGTTGTTTTGACACTAGCCTTCACGCTTTCAAATAATTTCCCCAACTTTATCTTTGGGTTTATTAAGCATATTGTTCTGTATCTGCAGAACATATAATATTACCTAGCCAAGTGAGCAGCGGGGAACAACAATTAAAGGCACCAAGGGAGTAACAGCTAGATTGATAAATGTAGTTATTTCAGAAAGCATTATTACTTGCCCCAAGGCTTTTATGAAAGA